TCCACGTGGCAGTGACTGGGGCTGCAGTAACCTGGGACCTCAAGTGGGCTGGCATGCCCCAGATAGCTCACATACATGGCTGGCACCTTGATAGGGATGCCAGGAGGCCAGGCTCAGCCGGTCACTCACTGGTGTGGTTGGGTCTCTCTCCCTCTACTAAAGTCTGTTTTCTAATCCCCTTACATGCTTGTATAAATAACAAACGTGCATCCAGCATGGATTAGGGGCCCACCACACTCTAGGGTCTTGGTGCTAAATGGTGAACAAAACACACAGGTCCTTGTCTCCTGGAGCTTGCAGTCTAGAAGGGAAGTGCTTGTTAAACAAGTTGACTTATTTAATAAATGCTTAAATATAAACAGTGATGAACGCTGTTCTTCAACAGAAGCAAGGAGAGAGGCAGGAAGAGGTGACTGACGTTGAATTTGGGGTGACTACGGAGGAAGCTTGGGGAGACTAAGTGTTGGGATGGAGGGAAGGAACAGCTTGAGCAAATATCTTAGCATGAGAAAGGGCGTGGGACTCACTGGAGATGCTGGACAGCAGTCCTGAGGATGGAGATTTGCAAGGAGGGGGCGACTGGCACTAGGCGGTGCCTATGGGGTCTTGCAGGTGAGGGGGTTTCATGCTAATTGTCCCAAGATGCTATGGAAGTTGTTTTTGTTTGTTTGTTTAGCAGGCCCTGGCTGAGTTCGAACCTGCCACCCCTGGTGCATGGGGCCAGTGCTCTAACTATTGACCTACAGGCACCCAGTCGTTGTGGAAGTTGTTAAACAAGGGAATGATCTGATCCGATTTGTATTTTATTGTGATCATCCTGGCTGCTCTGTGGAGATAGAACCCCAGCCCAGGGCAAGTGGAAACCAGGAGACCAGTCAGGAGGTGTGAGAGTTCAGGTTGGTGTTCACCAAATATCCCTTCTCCTCCAACTCCAGGAGGAACCCCTTCCCTGCCCCATGGCATCGGGTGGGCTCCACAATCTGGAGTGTGAGCAGAGGTCTTAAATACGCTTGCGTGGCACGGCTTGGTGTCTTCTGCTCCTGCGATCGCCATGGGAAGAACATGCTCTGAGTAACACTGCTCTAAGGAGGATGAGAGATGCGTGGGACAGACTTGGACACACGTCTGACTCACTCTCCAACCTTAGGTTTGGTACATCTTTTTTTTTGAGACAAAGTCTCACTCTGTTGCCCTGGATTGAGTGTCATGGCATCATTACAGTTCACAGCAACTTAAAACTCTTGGGCTCAAGCCATCTTCTTGCCTCAGCTTCCTGAGTAGGGGGGACTACTGGTGCCCGCCACAATGCCCAGCTACTTTTACAGACGAGGTCTTGCTCTTGCTCAGGCTGGTCTCAAAGTCCTGAGCTCAGACAATCCACTTGCCTCGGCCTCTCAGAGCGCTGGAAGTACAGGTGTGAGCCCCTGTGCTCAGCCTGGAATGTGGTCTCAGTAACCATTTGCTGAATGATTAAATGATTGAATGAGCCAGTGGTTGTGTAAGCATTTTCTTTTTTTTTTTTAATTTAATTTTTTTTTTTGTAGTTTTTTTTGGCCAGGGCCAGGTTTGAACCCTCTACCTCTGGTATATGGGGCCAGCACCCTACTCCTTGAGCCACAGGCACCGCCCTGTGTAAGCATTTTCAAAGGGAGGAGGATGTTACGGCCTCTGAGTGGTATGATTATGTTTGTAAATGAGGATGATCCCCAGGCTGCCCAGTGGAAGATGAGGCCTAGGCAGAGACAGTGGAGGCAGGAGGGCCAGTGAGGAGGCCTCACAGCAGCGGGGACAAGGGGATGGATTTAATAGGTATTGGGGAGTCAAATTGTCCAGGCTTGGTGACCAGTGAAAGCTGGAGTGACAGAACAAGAGGAGCCTGGGGGACTCCAGAGCCTCTGCTTTGGAGGAAGGAATGGGGAGCAGCCAGGCTCTGAGACAGAGCTGCAGGTGACACCGCCTTGTTTGGCAGGTGCTCTCCTCACCCACCAAGCTGGGATTTCATAACAAGAAGGGGTCAAGTCTGATGCAAACAGCCCTGGACACCCAACCCAGGCCCGGCACTAGGCGGGCACTGGGGCGTGGCTGTTGTCACATGAGCGAGCACCACCGTGTTGTCAGCTCCTACCCACCAACAGTTCTTCCTGTTTCAAAACAGATTCTTGCTGACTTCCCACACGGTTTCTCTTTCCCATCTGAGAGGCCTCTGGGCTTCAGGCAACATGCAGAACAGAAACAAGAGACTCACCCACATCCAGTGACTGCTGGGTACGTGATACGGTGGGAATATCACTGGGCTAGGAGTCCTAAGGCCTCAGTTACAAATGTTGTCAGCTAATAGTAGTAGAAGGCCTGACCAATGGTGGCATAAACCAATAGGTGATTTCATTTTCCTTTGCTCCCATAACAGGCAGCTGTTGGTTGCAGTTCAGCTGCCAACTGATGCTGTCAGGCCCAGGCTCTTTTTATCTTTTTCCTCGTCCCCTCTTAGCATGCTGGCTTATACCTTCATGCTGTGACTTCAACCTCACAAGATGGCTGCTGTGGCTCCAGACATCCCATCAGTATTAAAGCCAGGGAAGGACACAGGACAAAGGGCAGTATTGATCAGGTCAGTCATTTTTTATGGAAGAAAACAAATACTTTCATAGAAGCCACCTCTCTGCCTGACTTTCTCTTATGTCTTGTTGGCCAAAACTGTGTGCCCTTGGAACCCCAGCTATAAAAATGGCAGAGAAAACAAGTACAGTACAACCTCTGTAAGTTGACCACCGAAAACACTGTAACAAGGTAGTCAACTTACAGAGGTGGTCAATGTAAGGGACGAGGCATACTGTACTGATACACACGTGTGGTGCATGTCCTGTGTGAAAGTTAGGTCACCATAAGGAAGTGGTCAGTGTAGGGAGGTGGCCAGCTGTGGGGGTTGTACTGAATCTTGTCAGGTATTGGGTACATTGCTGCCCTGCACAAAACTGGGGTTTCGGTAGCAAGGAGGATGGTAGTAGTCACAGAGAGTGGGAAAGTACAGTGTCTGCCTTATCCACCTGAGCTCTATCTCCTGTGATCTCCTGTGCCTCTGTTTCCTCTTCTGCAAAAGGGAGCAACTAGTACCTACCTTGGAAGGTGATTAGAAGGCTAAAATGAGATAATCTGTGCATTGTGAGACACGCAATGCCTGAAGGAATATATTTACTGACATTATTCCTGGTATCAAAGCAAGGGCTGTCATTACTGGGCTAGGTTTAGGGGGTTGAACACACGTGGAAGAGCCCCCAGCCCACCTGTGGCCTGCAGGGAAGTTCGAGGAGCAGAGGGAGGAAAGGATTCGAGGAAAGGGGACAGGCCTGTGCAGAGGGCTCAGGGTGAAAGAAGCAGAAACACGGGTTTGAGGAAATGAGTCAAGTCTGAGTGTAGGAAGGGGGAGGCAGGTAAAGGATGGCCAGGCCTCCAGGGCTGTGGCTAGGGGTCTGGAATTGATCCTGAGGCCTTGTAAAGAGCAGAAACAGAAAGAGGTCTTCTCTGACTCTGGCTCACTGGAGGGAGCATCCCCAGGCTTTTAAACACAGGACTTACTGGGTTGTGGGATCTTGTCCATCTATTTCTATGTCGTGCTGTGTGTGCGGGTTGTAATGTGGTTTTCTGGTTTCAAAGGAGAAGTAACATTATAAATATAATGACCCTTTCTGAGCTAAAATAAGAAAAGCCAGCCAAGGGGTTTCCCCACTGCACCCAGTCCCTTTCAAGAGGGGCTGCTCCCAGGAGGCAAGTGACCTGGAGGTCCCACCTCAGAACTCAGGGAGGACAGTGGGGTTGGTCAGGAGATCTGGGAAAGCAGAAAATGGGAACCCCAAACATTTCCTTGGCTGGGCACTGGGGGACTTCTGGGCTGTCAGGGATGGGTTCTTTTTTTTTTTTT